AAGGAAGAGTGGCACTAGGTAGTATGGGACCACGTCCTCAACCTAGAATATCAAAGAATTAGTATTGCTTTTCTATTTTCATCCTTTGTGGGCCAGCGAGGTCCTCAATTATACATTGTATTATAAATTCCATTGTCATCCTTTAGGGCATGTTTGGTTGGTGTGAAAATATTTCTCGGGAAATATTTACAGTAAAATTGCCATGTTTAGTTAATGAGACGCTAGAACAATGGTGGTTTAGTAGGTATCTCTTGAGCAATAAAGGATATATGAGTACAAATCAATGGTGGCTTAGATGGTATCTCTTGAGCAATAAAGGGAATATTACACAAGTGTTTTCGCTGTTTGGTCCATAAATGGGCCACCCTTCTTATGAACTTTATAAAGGTTTGTGGCATTGCTTGGGTAAGTAATGATTTGTGTTATCCATATAGGCACATTTGGTTTGCCTTGGAAAAGTTTTTGGAAAATATGAAAAATATTTTTATGTGAAAAAATTTCTTTATGTGGCTAAGTGCAGAAATATTTTCATAAAAAAAAATTTATTCATGTGATTAGGTGCGGATGCGGAAATATTTTCATACCAATAGGCTGCCAATTGGTGTAAAAATATGCATGGGGACAAATTAGCGTGGAAATATTTTCATACCAATTACTTTGAGTATTTTTTTAGTAAGAGTATTTTTTGTTATTAGGAGGGGTATGACATCTTCTACATGGATGTGACATCACCTACATAGAGAACACTATTAGCATTTAATGCTCCATACGGGTTATGTCATACTTCATGTGTATGATGTCATATTCTTCCTAATGTCAAAAAAATATCTTTATTAAAAAAATATTATATTACAAAACAAAGGTATATAAATGTTCAAAATGTGTTGAGTACAATTATGAAATGCTCTATAGTATGAGAACCCTAACCCCTAATATAACCCTTTATTCATGTTTGCCACTAGGTTCAAGAGGTTATATCTCCAACATTTGGTCCTAAAAATATTCCTAATGGTGCAAATGGACAATATGCTCCCATGGGAACAACAAATCTTTTCCCTTGAGAAAATTCTGCATAGACACCATTGAGATCTCAACGGTAGACTCCTATTTTTCCCTTGGCAATGATGTCATCCACATAGCATTCTATGTTAATCTATTTTAAGATGGATTTTAAGACTTAATTTTTAGGGAGATATAATATCTAGCATGGAGATCATGAATATGAATAAATAAATAAATTTTAAAATTAAAAATAATAGTTTTAGTAAAAAAACATTTGGACGGTTAGTTTCTGTTGTTTTTAGATGGAACATCATCCATCTTTAAGATAGATGTTTTACACTTTCTAGACCGCATATGTAGAAATCAGATCCAGCCCACGTGAAACAATTTTTCTCACCTTTTGTAGTCTTTTGGCAATTTGGTGGTAAGTTATGCCCAATGTTCTAGTGTGAAATCCACTCAATATAATAAAAGATATCTGGTGGAGTGAGGAGTGTCAGTTCATCATATTTGGTGGTCATTGCATTTGGTCGTGCCCTTAAAAGCATATATAAATGAAAATGCTTGATAGCTATCGATTCTTGCACCAAAAACCTTAGATTGTTAACAAGGTTTTAAAAAAATTGCAATCCAAATCAGAATTGGTTGATCTGGGTTGAGATTTGGAGGGGCCTTCCCAGTTTCCCAAAATATTGGGAACCAATTGGCTCCCTCTATGAAGCAGCCGGTTCTGACAAAGACTTCCCAAAACATGCCCTGCTTTTTATTTTTCAATTTTTTTGTTCTCTAATTTTTTTAAATTTGTCACTGGACGATTCACTTGGCTAGATCGCTGATCCGCAATCTGCCAAACCACATCAGCTTTCCAAATGGGCAGTCCAAGTCACCAATCCGTATTTTTGAACCTTGATTGTTAATAAAGAAACCAAACTGGTAGCAGTATTCGGTGATTGTTTAACCAAAAATCAACACATAAAAAATACATGTGGTTCTATTTAGCCAACATCGAACTGGGGCAAAATTGAAATAAATAAAAAAGATAAGATAAGACATTATTATAAGGGTGCGGTTTCTATAAGGTTGCAACCTCAAACAATCCAACTAAAGCGCACCTTAAAATTTTATCATAACAAGTAATTTTGTTGTAAAAAATTCTTAGTATTATCTTAAAATCTATTGTCATACATAATTAGAAAATTTTAATTTTCAAAAATGGTTAAAATCAAGTACATCCATAAATATATGAAAATCTTGAAAATGGACGGTCTAGATAATGTGTTGCAAGATGCACTATTTTCGAGATTCAATTTTTTTTTTTTTTTTTTTCATATTCATAGATCTCAATGTCAAAATGATTGATTAGAGAGCTTTTTCAATATTAAAACAACATTTTCGATAGATTTTTGAGGTGCATATGTGATTCTACATTTTAAGGTTGCAATCTTATATAAACTTTTCCCTTGTTATAAACTTGAGAAAAATGTGGACCATGCAATTCCATGCATAAATTTCCCTTTTTGTTCATATGAGAGCATTGAAAACCTCTTCTCCCCTCCCTATGTGGCCTATATTTGCCTACGAAAGGAGATGGGGATGTCCCCTCTTTCCTGTGAGCAACCATTTTTGCTTTTTTTTTCTTCCTCCACCCGACTGAACAGTCAGTGATTATGAAAACAAGTTTTTAAAAAATCAAAAGGAGCTTGCAAATTCAATGCTAATCTACTTAGCGATGCAAAACCCTAAACAACTTCCAAGCCACCTCTTTCACCTCACTATACATTCACACTGCTTTCAATTACAGCATGACTAGCTAGGAGCCACTCCTCCTTAATCCAAAAAAGAGTAGACAGAGGTTACAAAGTGGCTCGACAGTCGAGCTCGAGCCCATATCTCTCAAACTGACCCACACCCATTTTTTCAAATTCATCATAGAATTAGTAGAACTAATAGGATCCAATTAGTATAACAGAATGGAGGACCAAGATTCATATAGCCGACCCTAAATAGTTGGAAAAAACTTTGATGTTGATGATGAATAGGATCCAATTAATTGTAAAATTATATGATTTGTTAAAAACAAATCTAGCTCTCATCCGTGGATAACCAATATGCGTCTGACACTCTTGACTCAGTCATTGAGACTTCATAGGACAAGAGTAATCGAGGTGTTCTAGATTTTGAGGAGCTCAATTTTCATATTCAACATTTGAAGCAGAATGATGATAAAGTCACTTAGAAGATTCTTGGAATGATGTCGGGGCATTGGTGGTTAGGGGAGCAGATGCTTCAACATAATGTTCACCCTCCATTCCCACCGTTAATATGTCATAATAATAATAATTTTTTTTCTTTCTAAGACGTCCATATAGACATGAAATCCTAGTATACAATGCCAATTAGGCAATATCCTAACTGCAAGATTTTCTCTTAGTACGCAATGTGTTGGGAAAATAAACCTTCCACAACCCAAGTGGAAGAAAGGTACCCAATAGAAGGCTATATTCTTGTTAGGACCTAAACCCCCTTCTTTCTGGGACCTAGCCCTATGTGGGGACATAGCGCTGTCAAATAATTAAAGGAAATTTATTCAGATATCTATCAGAGATGAACTATTTAATGTTCCACCCTATATGTTTTTTATTTTCTTTCAAAATATCCATCAAAAGACACCTAATCATGATTTGGGTGCACCTTAATTTGTCTGTTTAAGGTTGCAACCTTATGCAATTTCTAAATTTCATAGGATGGCCAGAGAATCCATTTTCATTTCTAATTACAAAATATTAGACTCCAAAAATAGTTCAAATCAAATAGATATTTAAACAAATGAAAATCTCGAAACTCAAATAGAATCGAAATCATTTTTTTTAGTTTTTATATTCATATATCTCGATATCAAGATGATCAATCAGAGGGCTTTCCAACTTCAAGATAGTCTATTAAGATAGATCTTTTAGGTGCACCTTAATTCTACATTTTACATTTGCAGCATTATATAAACCTTTTCCTTCTAAGAATAAGTGAAGTTATAAAAAATGGCATCCTCATCTTTGTAAATAGTGACAATCCAAGTTGAGAGGCATGTCAATAAGAATCATACAATTGCTAAAAACCCTCGAATTGATCATCTCAACTTTGAGATGTATGGATAAGAAAAAAAGAAGAAGTTCAAGTCCAAAAAATAATGCCATCGTATAAAAAATTATCTGGACCATTTATTTTTTAAGGTTTTCAAGTATTTATAGATCTGTCCAATTTGTACAATATTTAAACTTTTAAATTTCATAACTAAGATAAGAATAGTCTTTCAAGCCATCGTAAGGTTTCTGACAACATCTCTGGGCAATATTTAGAGGTGCGTATTATTGTATAAACCTCACCCAAAAGCAAAACTAGTGTCATTGTGATGTTAACTGAATTAGTCACTTATTTGTGGCGCTTTGAAATAGGCATATTTAAAAATTGGACTAAGACAACTACACTGTACAACAATTCTCATTGGACAAAGACAACTACACTGTACAACAATTCTCAACCTATTGTGTTAACCAAATAGAAGAAAGCATGTTTACTGGTTTAGCCAAAATAGTGCAGACCTTATACTATAGAAGTAAGGTGTATCTTAAAAATTTACTTTAAAAAGTTGTTTCAATGTCAAAAATGCTATAATTGATTATATGGCCACAAGATATATTTGGATATGGGAAAAAAAAAATTTAAATTTAAAATTAATGTGTCATAGAGTACATTATCTAAATAGTCAAATTTCAAAAAATTTAAGCATTTATAGATCTGCTCGGCCCACACAATGTCTGGATCCTTAAATTTTATAATTAAAGGTTTTTGGTACCAAAACTGCACTTTTTTTTTGTGACAAGGTTTAGAGGTTCACATAACTTTGATTATTTAAACTCGCCACCTTATTTAAACCGCATCCATAATATAATCCACATGCCCAAGACGAAGAGGCCGTCATCCATCAGCAAAATCATCACCGTCCAATCAAATTGGTAATAAAGGAAATAAGGGGGTTTGAACTTCACTTCCATAATCTTGACTCCACGACCTTTTAGGGTTTGAACTCATAAACCCTGCAGAAAAACAACGAAATAAGGGGGTTTTAGGGTTTTATCAGTTACGGCCATGGATGGTTCATCGTTGGATTCAGCAGAGTTGCAAAGATTTTTAGAGGTAAGACATGGAAACTTCCCATGTTAACATTTACTTTCTTCCCCTATTCTCTAATTATCTTCGTGTGATTTGTACTGGAATATAATCACTCTATCTCTTCTGGTTCAAAAGACTATTGAGTTTGATTACTGAACATTGCTTATTCTTTGATGGATGGTTAGAAAAATAATTTTAAGAGTTGAAAATATGACATTTCTGATGTAGGAGAATGACAGTGAAATTTGAAAAGCAATTTTATATTGAAAAACCTTTAACTAATTGAGGTAATGAGCTTTCAAAAGATGGGTAGATGTTTGGGTTATTTAGTAGAAATGGAGATTTGCGATTTGGGGAGATCTTGGAATATTGAGTAAATAAGTTCCACTTTTTATGCCATGCGTTCTGCGATGCGTTCTGTATATATCTTGTTTTAGTTTAGGACTAAGTTTATTTCTTACTGTACTGTTCTTTTTAGTAACCAGTTTAGTGACTTCACTGCTAACCATTGGTTGATAATACCATTTCTTTAGTAGTGTATAGATTGAATAGTGATGATGAATTTGGTGCTTGCTACTGTGAAGCAGAATTTGGTCTAATGCTTTACTCTAGTCCTCTGCATTTACTCATAACTCTATTTAATATTTTTTCCATCTATCGCTCTCTTAGTGTTTCCTGAGTTCCCTTTTAATGAGCATACCGTTCAATGGAGGAGCTATCATAGCAAAGAGCTTGATGGGTCAGTGTATTTTTCTTATAGGTTTGAACTTTTGATAATGGAGATCTAGTATCTAGATGATTCAGCATGCCCTTTACTCAGGGAGAGTAGATCTCTAACACTTTCCATCTTTTTCTCTATACTGCAATATTTTTACCCCTTCCCCCCCCCCCCCCCCCCGGCCCATTGAATGCTTCAGTGCCAGATTAATGGCAGTGGCCTCTTCATGAGATTAACTTGGTTCTCGTAAGAATCTTCAGTATCCATTACTTTCTATATGTAGTAGATGGATGTCGATTTAGATGTGAAGATCCAGTTAATAGATACTTATAAAATGAAACTCTATCTTTGATGTAAATATATAGTGCTTCATCTGCATTCGAGGTAGCTGGTGATCTTGGCTGAGAAGTTGGTTTATGGTCTTAAGGGGAGAAAGCCGAAGTGGGGAGAATTTAATTGAAAACCCCTTGTTCTCTTGTCAGCTTCTTTGATTCAATAATAGTTGGTCATTTGAGTTGCATAACCAAGGTTCTCTTCTCTTAGTGCTAAACAACATTGTTCAAGAACTTCAGTCGATCGTGCATAAACCCTCTTTAGTGATGAGAAAAAATGAATTTGGCTCCTTGGTTCTATCATGCATAAACCCTTTCTGCACAAAATTAGTCACGGAACAACACAAATATATTTATATTTTATGATACATGATAATGATTGAACTATGAGAACTTATATTTGTTTTTTATATTACCATTTTATCTTCATCTAATTTATATATTATCCCTGAATTTTCATGATCTTGTTTCTCTTTTCTTCTTTTTCCCCCTAATTTATTATCTTTGGTAATTTTTAAATACGTTCATGACTTGGTGCAGTGGCTTGCTCATTTCCTAAGTCAACCAAGCAAGTCACCAAGTCAATTATGAGCCCATATTGGAATCACCTGGTTGGACTAGTTTAGTTTGCCACTTACGGGTTACTGAATGCTGCCTTCTTCTTTGTAGTGATGGAATATTTTGATTGTTTGAATGGTGCTCCTAGTAAATTTCCTAACGCGTTCGTTCAATTTTTTTTTCTTTTTTTCTTCCTAACACCATCTGTGAGCATTTCCAGCAGCGTAAGGGATCATTTATAAGCTGCTGCTGCAGCTTCTATTCTTGTTAGTTTTTTTGTCATGTTTATCTGATTGAGAAGGGCTTATATGGATCATGGGCTCAAATAACTAGAATACTCCAAATTAATTACTTCACATTGTGGCGGTGTTTTAAAACTTTTCAAGTCAGGCTTGTACTTGGGCGAGTGACTTGGACTCAACATGGTGCTGGCTCCGAATGGAAGAACTTGGGACCAGGCTGAGTACTTGGGCGAGTGACTTGGACTCAGCATGGCTCTGGCTCCGAGTGGAAGAACTTGGGACCAGGCTGAGTCGCACAGATTCCCAAGAATTTTTTTTATTTTTTATTCATTTATTTTAAGACTCAGATGGACTTGCTAATAGGTGTGGCAAAGGTGGGGGACTAGCTCAAACCTAGCCCGAGCTGGCCATAGGGATCTTGGCCTAGGCCTAGTGCTGCTATTAATGGGCCGGGCTGGTCCATGACCCCCAGTTTGCCGTGGCCACCGAGCCTAGAATTCAGGCCAGGCCAGCCCTGCCCTTAGGCCAAATTTTGTAGCTCGAGCTTAGGTTGTTTAGGGACCCGCTGCTTGGAACACTGACTCAGACCCTTTGCCTTGCCTGGTTGCAGGCCTGTGTCCAAGTTTCTAGGTATTCAAAGGCTTTAAAGTGAGATGCCGGTGCTTCTGTGAGCACTTCACTGCTGCTCGGCAGAAGAAAACTATGAACCTTTGTCCTTTGTCTTTCTCTTCTTTATTTTTGTTACCTTTTAGGGGCGTTTAGATATTCTTTATTTTTTCGTAGAAAAGGTTATCTCTATGTTCTTATGCTTAGTAATTATTGTAACACATGACGGAAGAAGTTTTTAAGGGTTTTGGATTATGTTTGGTAAAAGCATGCCATGCTCACATTTGTCATGTGGCTAAGAACGGGGTATATCTAAGGGTTTTGCTAGCACACTTCTAGGCAATGACTTGGTTAAGGTACTACTTTTCTCGTTTAGCAAAAAATATGCCCACCTTGTACTTGTACTCATTTCTGGCCAGGCTAGTTTTTCCATTTTCCAGGAAGACTCATGTGAATTCTAAACAAAACAAGGAATGTCATTCTCATAATGTCAACCTTTGTGCTTCATTAAGTCTTTTTTTTTAATTGACAAATATTAGTCAATGGTGTCGGAATGCCTACCCTCGCATTGTTTAGAATCCTCAAGATTTCACTTGCCAAATGATGAACATGATGTCCTTCCCAAAATTATTATCGAAAGCAAGATGCGAGCTTGGCCAAGCTATGTCAACCACCTTTGTTTATAATGAGTTAAACACTCCCATGTGAGCCCCGCACCCCTCTGAAGTGTGCTATGTTTTATCTTGGCAAGAGGTGGTGCTCCCATGTGTCCCAAAACATGTTTGGGAAGAGGGTTTTGTTGCTATTTGTCAAGGGCTTTGTCACAAATACCATACAATTAAAAGGGCATGATTTCATTATATTAATATGTTCTGCTCCTTTTGATGGCTAGTTCCCCAGGCACTATGATAATTTCATCATTGCCATTAGCCAATTGTAAGAACATGCCTTCTTGATAATTTTACTTGCACATTCGTAAGGGTATTTTCCATAAAATATGTGGCCTTATCTAAATTTACCATCAAAGGGGTATATATCTACCAATAGATATGTTTATGTGCTTATGTCTTTATAATAAGCATACATGAACTACAATATCTAAATTTTGCAGTAGGAAAGAGGTTTGTGTGTATATGTGTGGTCTTGTGGGCAAAACACTTGGTTAAACTGAGTTTTATGACTTGAAAATTTTCATATCATCTTTGGTTCACCTTGTGATCAAATTTTTTTTCCAAAGATTTGATGTTCTTAAAACCTAGATGGCTTGATTTAATCATCCATCTTGTGGAAACTTGGCTGCATTTTTTGAGATATATCCATAGTTATAAAAAGAGACTGAATACACCCCTAACTAAAATGAAATAGTTAAATGACCAAACTGCCCCTGATTTCTCTACATACCTAAAAGACATAAGTACCCCCCCCCCCCCTCCCCCCAACATAACTAAAGTACTTAAAAATCCAAATAACCCTAGTTTTCACTCTTAAAATAATAATAAAAAAAAGAATTAAAATCCTTGATAAATTAAAGTAAGTTGTCTCATAGAAGGCCATGATGCCCTCATCAAATTGACACTATTGTAAAAGACGTGTGGCTTTTGCACACTGTTTTAGTAGACATGCCAAATCTACGCCATTTGACTAATAATGGATGGTTTAGAGTTGAACATTGCAACCACAATTCTACAAGTAAGGTTGCAAATGTAGAGTTGAACATCACAACCATACTTCTACATTAAGGTTGCAACAACGTAGAGTTGAACATCACAACCATACTTCTGCAAGTAAGGTTGGAACCTAATGTAAACTACACCAATTATCCATATATATATATATATATATATATATAGGAAAATGCTGGCATAGATCCACTAGTCTATAGCTACATATGAGCCAACGGCCCAGATTGAATCAGGGCCAATCTAATGAACACAATTTCATTTTGTATTTAAATTTTAATTTTTTCTATAAATATAAATCACTTAAAATTTTGGGCGTGTGTGTTTTATAAAAATATCAAAAAATATTTTGTAAAAATCAAGTTGACCAAAATACCCCCAAATTTGTTTAGGGGTATTTTGGTCAATTTATATTTTGAGAATTATTTTTTAATATTTTTATTAGGTGCGCCTTGATGAGAAGAATAGACGCCTAAAATTTCACCTGATTTGGATTTGTAGAAAATATATTAAAATTCAAATACGAAATGAGGTTGTATTCGTCAGGTCGGCCCAGATTGAATCTAGGCCATTGGGCTCATATGTAGTTGTAGGCTAGTGGGCCTATGCTAGCATTTTCTATATATATATATAGAGTAATGACACTATGAGACCCTACCACACCCATGTGAGTAGGACCCCAAAGGATCACCATTAAATTTTGATACAGATCTCTAGAAAAGTTATCACATGGGTGTGGGACTTGGGTGAATGGGTTTATTGACAACTTTTCTAGAGATCTGTGTCAAAATTTAATGGTGATCCTTTTGCGGCCTACTCACATGGGTGTGGGAAGGTCTCATAGTATCATTACTCATATATATATGGTTAATTTACTTATGGACTGGGT